TTCTTCGTTTTTTGAATTTCATCCAATTTTAAGGGAAATCTAGAAATATAGCCAGTCGAGGTGGAGCGGGAGTGGTGGGGGGTGCGGCGTTGCCGTATCGTGCGCTCCAACTCGCTCAGAAGGTCTATTCGTACATTAAAAAGACAGAAATCATGAGGAAACATAGCATAGAGAAGTATTTACAGCGCACGAGCGCGAGAAACGTAAGCACAAGCTTCTAGGTTAGGTGCAAAGAAGAAATATCATACGGACTGCGATACATTAGCACTCGTGATTCTAGAGAAAAGGTGCAGGCTAAAGAAACAGCGTACACAAACACCAAAGTGCTAGTATGTATAGCACAGACTCACCAGCAGATTCGGCGCGCGAAAAAATAACGAACTTCGGTAGCTTCACGGCGGCGAAAATGATCGGACTCGAGGAATACTGGATGGCGGCGAACACAAGGATATCACTGTACTCACCATGTCTAAGTCCTCCTCCAAGGACAGGTCACGGACGACCAGCTCCTCCTCGACAGAGGAATCACGTCCGTATTCCTTAATGAACTCCATGGCGCACGAGCAGGATCTGTTGCGCAACAGGAACAGGCAGGAGGCGAACTGAGCCCGCGGGCGGCGGGCGGGACGCTGGCCGCCGCCCCCTCCACCCTAGGTAACCACGGTAACTGCCGCCTCCGGACCGCGCCACCTGGGCGCTAGAGGGCGCGCAGAGCGCAGCGCGAAATTTCAAATTCGAAACGCAATCCACTCGCATCTCAACGACCCTTTCCCCCGATTTTTGATAGCGGCTGGCTCTGGCCGGGCCGGCCATACTCCTTGACGCACACCTCTCCCCCACAGGGGCGGATCCAGGCGAACGTGTTCCGACCTGGTGCAGCGCAAGTCCACCCCTCCCACCTCCGGGTAGGGGCGGGACCAGGTTGACGAGTGGACACCCGTCTCAGGGGCGGGTCCAGGTAGACATGCTGAGACCCATCGCAGGGGCGGATCCAGGCGAACGTGTTGTGTCGCAGGGGCGGATCCAGGCGAACGTGTTGACACCCGTCGCACCCCAACTTGTACAGACGTGTACCCCCATCCTCGATAGGTTAAGTTAGCCCCATCACTTACGCCCCTCCGCCAATCCTCGATAGGTTAGGTTAGGGGTTGATAAGACCTAGGTTCTGTTAGGGGTTGATAAGATCTAGGTTGTGTTAGGGGCTGATAAGATCGAGGTTAGGTTGTGTTAGGCTCTGGATAGATGGCAGAATGGGGAACCGGCAGATTGGGGTACCCGGCAGATTGGGGGATATCAATGGCGGATGGCCCTAATGGGGGATGCTTACTACTGACCTCGCAGCGCACTAGTCTCACAGCGAACGTACTGAATGGGTCCTGTTTGGGGACTGAATGAGACCGTTTGGGGACTGTTTGGGTACTGATTCTTTTCGTAAGGGCCAAGATGGCGAGCACGACATTAAGGCATAACAATGGCGGACCGCGACAGGAAGGCATGCATACTACTGGTAGGCAACCCAGCACTCCGGGCGCCGTGGCTTCCCGGAACCAGTTGGCAAAAGAGACTTTGCCCGCAGTTGACCAAGTACGAGCGAGGCGCCCAGGCCATGCCCGCAGTTGATAACGCGCCGTAGCTTCCTACTAACCACGCAGCTTTCCATACGGTGAACTGCCTTATTTCCTGTCTTTGGTTAGTGATTGTCCGCAACATCGGGTTTCTTTCATTGTTCGTTGTTAAAATGCCCTAGAGTTCAACATTGACCACATTTTTCAGCCAATTGACCATTTCACCCAGCGGCCACACTGGCGGTCTTCCGGTTGGTACAACGACCTTTATGATCTAGTAAGGACTAGAATATTTCATTAGATGTGACCCCTGATCGTTGCTTAGTTGTCAGAGAGCTCGAATTACGCGTTGAAAACCACAAAACACATATTAGGGGGCCACAAACAGATGTTGTACCAACCGGAAGACCGCCAGTGCGGCCACCGAGTGAAATGGTCAATTATTTTAAGCGTATTTCTTATGTGTTCGAAAAATTACAGAAAGTATCTGAAAGACTACCTTCAGAGTGTCTGTAACTTTACCAATACCTGTAATAATACCAGAGTCCGTGTAGATTTTTACAGACGTGTGTAAATTTACAGTGGTTTTTCGTTAAAAATCCCTAAACTCTGTAATTTTACTGGTACTGTAATTTTACCAAAGTATATCTGTAAAGCTAACATAATCTTTAAAATTACATTTTATTTCTGTACAAGATTACATGAATTATCGGTAAAATCACCAATATTTTTACAGTGATACAGAGAATTTTTGTAAGTTACATAATGAATGTGACGTTTTATCACAAATTAAAATTGAAAAGAACATACAGAGTTTATGGCCCAGGTAGCAAAACGAAGCAAACTGCATTCGAACCACAATTTATGTCCCATCTGAAACGCACGTTTTAGGCGCCTACATACGCGTTTCAGGCACTGTTTAGATTGGACACAAAATGCACATTTTATGCAGCTCTGCTACCCGGGAGGTGGACAATGTAAAAATAGCTTCTGTTTTATAGAAACATGTTGATACTTGTGCGTCTTACAGTTTTATTCCGGAATGATGTCCGTTTCAAGATAGGCACATAACATGCAGCCTTTCCGCCATGGCAAACCGTTGGTCAAAAGTACACGGTAACGGCCGTATGGTAACTGCGGGAAACTCAACATACGCGGGTCATGGTTAAGAATGTGATACGACCCCTGGGCCAAGAAAAACAAAATAGTTAGATTCGTGTTAGTCTGGATGCCATAATTTTCCTCTTGTTCATAAAGGAACTAGGTGCAAAAAAGTATTTTGAAACATGTCTGTTAGCTATTGTTAAAATCTAATGTTTCTTACATTGGGGACGACGCAGCCACCAGACACGTCTTCCTTAAACACATTCGCGAAGTACTTGCCCCTGTTTCGCTTCATCATTGAACATGATTTTGACGGGTAGTTGAGAATAAGCGCGTTCGGCTTCCACTCATTGTTACTCCAAAGGTCAAAGACAAGACGTTGCTGAAAACAAATATATACCTAGCTTGAAATTAGTGCGCAATAGAACTAAAGGCAACGCGTAATGCACAATAATGTTTTAAATCGATTGTGTACATCAAGCGTAAGTTGGAAAAAAAGGCCTACAGTATAGAAGAGAAGTGAAATTGTAAAGTATTCTCTATGTTGCCAGGTCAAAGATAAGTTTCGATTAAATAAGATCACAGTTCGTCTGGTTGTTGCTCCACCTTTTCAATCGCCTCTTATCGAGGCTAGGCCATTCCACGAGGGGGCCACCACTTCAACTGAGGATGTACACAGGATTACGTGATTACAGGGATTACACGTCAATTTTGAGTGATTACACGTGAATTTTGTTGAATTTTAGGCTCTAAAACTATCAAATTTGGACAATAAGGTAAAATTGAGTGATAATGTTTAAAAATTTGGTCAAAGATTACACGGAATAGACAGGGATTACGTAGGGATTACACCCTCATCTGTACACCGGATTACGCGAGTGGTGGCCCCCTCGCCATTCCAAACAAGCCGGCCCGCTCTTCCGCCAAACGGAGTTGTCAGCTCCACTTCGCTGCGCCGGCAACTCCGTTCGGCAGGGGCCGGGCCTGCTTGGCCTGCCGGCGGCGATGGTTGGGCCTTCGACCCGACCATTTCAGTCTCGCGATTTACCGAAGTGCATGATCAAATAAATAATGTGACCGGTAAATCACTTTGCATATTTGACTAAACTAACGTGTCCGGTGGGGGGCCTGCGGCCCTAGAAATTTGCTCCTTGGTCATGACAAAAGACTGTAACGGGGCAACACCGTGACTACACCCCACCCTTCTGCTTCGCTTAAGAATTTAAAACAAGCAGGCCCGCCCTTCCGCCAAACGGAGTTGCCAGCTCCGCTTCGCTCCGTCGGCAACTTTATTCGGCAGGGACCGGGCCTGCTTAGCCTGCCGGCGGGGACTGTCGGGCCTGCGGCCCGACCATTTCTGTCACGCGATTCGCTGGAGAACATGGTCGAATGATGTAGCGGGCCTTTGGCCCGCTTTAATCTGTCGTCTTTGAGTTTGCCGCGTAGACACGGACACGAGAAAGGGATGTAACGGTGAAGCACCGCGACTTCAACCCTCCCTTCTGTTTAGAAAACGTTTTTTGGGGGTGGGGGGGG